GTAGTCGTCAACAACGAGCAGGAAGTAGCGCTCGTGACCCTGTCCACGGACGCGGGCTGGGCCCCACACGTCCATGTGAAGTGTCTGCAACGGGGCCTCTGTCGGAGGAAACTGGGAGGAGTGAGGGGCAGCACGCAGGCGCCCCTCGACACAGGGGACACAGGCAGGGCCAGGGCCCTGAGGAAGGGGAGGGAGGGACCGGGGGAGACCGGACACAAGAAGACGGGAGGCCATACCTCTGAGCCGAAGCAGAGAGGGGTGGCCAAGGCGGTGGTGCCAGAGGAGAGTCTCGTGAGACAGGAGACGACACGAACAGGGGGCAGACTCAGGACCAGACCTGGACGCCGCAGCAAACACCTGACCCGACGTAACTACCCTACCAGACTCAGCAGCTGGAGGAGACGCAGTGGTCAGAGTGTACAGGCTCGACCCCGGCTGACGGGTGAACGTAGCCAGGTGTCGGCCTGTGCCAGCCTCTGTACAGTGGGTCACTCTCTGACGTGCAGGAGTGAACTGGTGGACCTCCGCATCCTGTAGGTCAGCACCACTCACCAGGTTCGTAGAGAACGAGGGGAGGTAGAGACCAGACAGGGTGCCAGAGGGAGCCGCCGGACACGGGAGGACTGTGGAGAAGCGAGACAGGACAGGACCCCCAGAGGGGTCAGCCAGAGACACTGCAACCGGTCGACTCAGCGGTGTGAGTGTGGTGCGGTCCCGAAAGAAGGAGCGAGACGCCCCAGAGTCAAGGGTGAAGGTGAGGGAGGCCGAAGCCGACGCAGTACCTGAGAGCGCAGACTCACCAGTACCTGAGGACGCAGACACACGAGCACCTAGAGCAGCAGCGTCGCAAGCACCTAGGGCAGCAGCCTCACCAGGACCTAGAGCAGCAGTCTCAATGCCCGGATCGGGCGGGAAACACCGGTAACAGTCACCCTCATCACTAATAGACACAGCATACATGGCAGAGAGAATAGCATCAAAGTCAAGATCATAGATGGCAACACCCGCCCTAGACAGCTCGCCCCAGCGAGGGATCTCGTAGGCCTCCGGGAACTGGTGACGCCACGCGTCCGTCAGGCGGCCAAAGCAGCGCTGGGTGGGGTGGGGACCCCCACACTGCTCACCCGCACGGTCGCCGGTGCGCAAAACGTAGGAGCACGGACCAAAACCCCCACCCCGCTGACGCGCAGTGTACCACTCACGAAGCTGCTGAGGGGACAGGGTGTCACGACCACGCTGCTGCTGCTGGCGCGAGCCACCACCGGAGCCACTCCTCTGCGAAGACCCGCGACCAGCACCACCGCCACCCCCCGCCGCCTCCGACGCCTCCGCCGCCTCCGCTACTGCCGCCGCCTCCGCCTCCGCCGCCGCCTCCACCTCCGCCACCTCCACCACCTCCGCTCCCACCGCCACCGCCGCCGCCACCTCCACCTCCACTGCCGCCACCGACCCCTCCACCCCCACCTCCACTCCCACCGCCACCCCCACTCCCCCAACTGCCGCCACCTCCACCTCCACCGCCCCCGCTCGCTCCTCCAGCGCCCTTGCCCCCCTTGCCCTTGCCAGAGCGGCGTCTCCCGCTAGGGGCAGACGCCGCACCGACCGACTCAAGAACAAGGAGGTCGGCCGCAGCAGCAGAGGCAACAGAGGGCAGAAGGGGGGAGGGGGAACACCCCTCAAAGATGGGGGTGCGCGGGTCACCACGAGAGGCCCCTACAGCGACTATGCTCTTCTCGGCCGCTAGGAGGGACTTCTCGAGGAGGTCAACAGTGAGAGTGGTGGGACAGACAGAGAGAAAGTGGTCCCTGACTACGCGAAGGGAGTCAGGAAGGCGAGTGACTATGTAGTAAAGAGTGATGTACATGGGGGGGGGGGTTCCTGGCGCAGAAGTCAGGAGGGAGTGCAGCGCGGTAGCGAGTGTCACTAGTGCGGAGGTGCGTAATGAGGTCAGTGACTGTGGGAAAGGCAGTAAGATCAGGAAAGAGGTACGGTAGCATGAGACGGCTCAGTGCAGCAGTGGCAGGGGAGGAGTAACGCGCAACTACAGCGTCGTACAAGGTCTGAGCACTCTTGTACTGACTAAAGTGCGCACGCTCGGAGGTAGGGAGGTGGCGACGCACAGCAAGACGTGCAGCAGCGTCGCGCGTGGCCCACTGGGAGCGAACAGTGGCGTCAGCATCAGCAGCAGGGGCAGTGGAGGTGCCAGAGGTGAGGTCAAAGAGAGAGAGGCCGTCTGCCCTATCGCACTGTAAGAACAGCTGCAGGTCATCTACCCAGACCTCAAAGTCAATGGCCCTACCCTCAGCGTCAAAGGCGAGAACACTAGGGGTAGCCATGACCCTAGACGACTAGTAGCGCAAACAGTGGGGTGAGGACAGTGCAGTGAAAAGGCGCTGTGCTCACCAGACTGGGCAGGTCGGGCGGCCCTGAAGGAGGGCGGCGCGGCGGCTCGGCGGCTCAGCTGCTGGGCGGCCCGGCGGCTCGGCGGCTCCGCTGCTGGGCGGCTCGGCTGCTGGGCGGCTCGGCTGCTGGGCGGCGCGGCCGCTGGGCGGCTCGGCTGCTGGGCGGCTCGGCTGCTGGGCAGCTCGGCTGCTGGGCGGCTCGGCGGCTTTGCTGCTGGGCGGCTCGGCTGTGCTGCTGCAGGGCACGGGGCCGCAGGTAAGGGCGGCGGGGCCGCTGGTAAGGGCGGCGTGGCCGCGGGTAGGGTGGCGGGGCCGCAGATAGGGTGGCGGGGCCGCAGGTAAGGTGGCGGGGCCGCAGGTAAGGTGGCGGGGCCGCAGGTAAGGTGGCGGGGCCGCAGCAGAGGGCGGCGGGGCCGCAGGTAAGGGCGGGGCCGCAGGTAAGGTGGCGGGGCCGCGAGGAAGGGCGGCGGGGCCGCTAGGTAGGGCGGCGGGGCCGCGCGATGGGGCGGCGGGGCCGCGCGATGGGGTGGCGGGGCCGCGAGGAAGGGCGGCGGGGCCGCGCGATGGGGCGGCGGGGCCGCGCGATGGGGTGGCGGGGCCGCGAGGAAGGGCGGCGGGGCCGCGCGATGGGGCGGCGGGGCCGCGCGATGGGGCGGCGGGGCCGCGCGATGGGGCGGCGGGGCCGCTAGGTAGGGCGGCGGGGCCGCTAGATAGGGCGGCGGGGCCGCGCGATGGGGCGGCGGGGCCGCGAGGTAGGGCGGCGGGGCCGCGCAATGGGGCGGCGAGGCCGCGAGGTAGGGCGGCGGGGCCGCGGAGACGGGTGGCGGGGCCGCAGTGCAGGGCCGCTAGGGCGGCTCGACGAAGTGAGGGCCCGGAGCGCGACTCGGGCTGAGCGCGCTTCGGGCAGGAAAAAAAAAATCGATGTGGTGGGCCCTAAGCACAGTTCCCAAGGGGGAACCTGCTCTATACCATGAGAAGATTTGAACAAGGATGGATGAACTATGAAATGAAGTGAGTACAAATATGAAACCCTAATTGGTTGTACCCCCTATGGGATACCCCACTATAGCCTACACAACAGCATAAGCTATAATGTTCTGACACCAACCACATCCTGTCGAGCATCATTCATTGCCCCTGGCTTCTGGAGCATCTGATAGATAAAGTGGGAAATATTGCGGGGTGTCTGAAAAGCGTTGGAGTGCGAGAAGTTTGGTGACTAGGAGTACAGTACTGTACTGTCAGTCCGCAGAGCCATGTAGTACAGTATTACCCACTCGATTTGGACTGATCCGCGAATTTAATCCGACGCAAAGCGAACTGTATACTCGGTGGAGAAACGGTTTGGCGCTGTGGGCAAATCTCAAAAGCGAACTGTATACTGCCTGCGGAAGGAGGGTAACAGAGAGGTGGGATTTTTTCGTTATTTAGTACAGAATTGTCTGACCTATCTTACACTTGTTTTAGCAATAGGGATGGGTGAGTGGTGTAAGTTCCATTCTGAGAGCATGGCCATCATGATACCCCGCATACCACCCCCTTCCTTTCTCTTTCCCACCCCCCCATTTCCCCTCCTTGTTGGCAGAGGTAAGGTTACGTGTTCTGTAGATGTTTCTTGTTTTAAAAATTCAAAATTTGAATCTCAAACTTCGACTCCTCATTATTTCTACCTTCGCCATTTCTCCCGCGTCGCATGCCGAGCCTCCACTCCCTGCGACTGCTGTCGCAGGTTTGGTAAAGTGTCCAATCATGGTGCGTGCATCTTCACTCGATTTAGCACTTTCATTAGTGACTCCTTCACTCAAAACTCAACTCTTTTGTATTGTAACGTTCGGTTTACATATAAATATAGTAGCTGGGCGTCTTGCTGGCTATACGTTTCGGTTACCTGACCCTTTATCTAGAACTCATGGCACTTGGCAAATCTAAGTACCTTGTCCCTGATTCTTTGAAAATGCACCAGACTCGAGCAACGCTGCCGCGAAAGAGCAAGGATCGGCACCTGTTCTTCCCGACCCCCACCGCAGGTGACTTTGCTGTTTCCTGTTAGACAAGCATCTGATTCTGTTATGTCGAAAACGTCTGATTCTGTTCTTTTTCTCTTCTTAACTATACATGGCAGGAGCCAACACTGCCAAAGAGACGAAGGAAGAACCAGCCGGTCGTCACCCTATCGGCCAGCGTCATAAGACTGCGCGTCGGAGCCTCCAAGATGTCAAAGCTGCTGATGTTGGGTCGTCCGAGCCTTCGCCGACAACTGGTGTTGCTCCGTCCCAGCTAGCCAAGGCGCCGGCCCAGCCAGCCAAGGCACCGGCCCAGCCAGCCAAGGCACCGGCCCAGCCAGCCAAGGCTCCGGCCGAGCCAGCAGGCCCTGCCGACACTGCAGGTCGTCCCGAAGGCTCCGGTGCCACTGGTCATCCCCCTGCTGCCATCGAAACTATCGAGAATTGTGTCGCTGTCGTAGCGGACAAGGAACCCGCTGCTGAAAAAGGTGATTCACATTTTTCAGCCTTGCATTTTGTTGCCTGCAACCATGACTAATTTTACTGTTTCCGTATCTGTTTTTGCCTACCAACTGAAAAGCCCGATGCCAGCCCGATGGAGTTGATCATGTCCCGTGCGAAAGGTCCGGTGTACGCCACTAAGGCCGCTGCTTACGACGAGGAAGAGCGCGACGAACCCCAGGTGAACGACGAGCTGGTAGCTAAGGCGGGTGCTCAGAAGGCGATCGTGGAAACATATCGCCAGGAGAACGAGCGTAGGTCGGCTGGACTGAAGGACTTCCTCGTGCTTATAACGCACCTTGCTAATTAAGCCACGGAAGTTGACGCGTCGACTCTCACCTGGGAGGTAAGTACTACCATTTCATGTATTAAACCAGCATTCCTTTCATCTGGAAACGTCGGATTGCTAATTCTTATCTGTTACTTGCAGGTGTACACCAAGAACGCTTGCGACGAGTTTCTGTTCCACCGAGAGAAGCTCAATCTTTGTCCCGATTCCGAAGACATGCTGGCATCGCTCATAAGTAAGGATTGCGTGCTTTTCTCTCTGTGGTGGCTGTACGTTTTTGGAAGCTGACTTTTTTGTTTGTATGCAGAGCACTCGGGCCACACGCCTGACTCACCCGAAGGCTTGAAGGTGGCTGCGATTGCGAAGTCTCAGGGCGAGCTGAGGCATGCCTGTGTGCGGTTCAATGATCGCATCGGTAAGATTTACCGACTTACCCGCATCCACGCCTTGAGTAACGAGCCTTGTGTCTTCATGGGTGAGAAGCGTAGCCTGAAGGGACTGATTCTTTACTACGAGCCCAAGGGCTTCCCCCGCATGTGCGAAATCTATGTCAACGCCAACGACTCCAGTAAGTAGGTTTCTTTTCTGCTTTCTGTAGCATCCGTTAATCAGTATCTGACCTTCTTATTGTCACCCTGCAGAGTTGTTCGGCTTACCCTGGCATGTCCTGGGCGGAGTCCCGTTTTCTAGCGACGGTTTTGTTAAGTGTGCTGCTCTCTGGGACTCTTAGTGGGACGGGTCCTTCCCGATTGCCTTGTTTCCTGAGCAGCTTCTTGTGCTGCTTGCAGCGGTGAGTTCTCTGGTTTTACCGTTGGTGATTTATCTTAATGTAATGCTTACAACTTGCTTTTGTCGTTACTGTTTCAGGTGCGTTTCAAATAGCCCAATCCCTGCAGCAAGGGGCAGTTCGCGTGTTCCGGGGATCATGCAGCTCTCGCCAGGCAGGCACGGGTGGTGCAGCGTTCGATCAACGCCACCCAAGTTAAGCGCGATGGAGAGTGCATAGGCATCGGGAAGCTGTGCATCGTCGGATGGGCCGACATTTCTGACGAGGAGCTCGAGGGGGATGAGCTTGGTGACCTGTCCCCTGATGATGTTGTCCCCACCAGTGCTCATCGCAGGGTTCATGATGAGAACCAGGTGCAGGAAGAACTGTATTAGATTTGGGGGGTGTAGGTGTAGTTACTGTATTGCTATGTATTGATGTAGGTGTAGTTACTGTATTGCTACGTATGCTGTGTATGCAGTTTCAATTTAGTACAATTGTAATGTTGCTTAGAGTATTGGAAAAACTCTTAATAAGAAAGCAGTTAATTTTATTATAAAGTACTGGAAATGTGGTGTAGTTACTATCATTACAATCACACAAATTTTACTTTCGATTAGGTCATGTCCGTCACATGCACAATTGCCGCATCAAAGATAACAATTGTATTTTATCCGGGAAACCAATACACGTTGTCTTCCGCTTCATGATTTCAACTGAGTTGCATCACTTTCGCTAAAAGAGCACTTTCGGAAATTACGTGAAAAAAAACCCGACCCTAATTCGACATCGAAATTTCCAGTTACCGAAACAGTGTTTATCGAGTCAATATTGCTCACGCGACAACCAATCGGAAAAAATATTGCGCCCACTGCGGATCAAACATCTGTTTGCATTCAGTTCGCCAAATCTTCAGGTTTGGCAGCCAGCTGCTCGACAACTCGAATCCTTCTAGAGAGCAACATGCTACTATACACGCAAACCACACGCTTCCTCCGGGAAAACGCGTGCAGTCGAAAACCAATCGCTCACGACTGGTTTCCAACTTGGAAACCAGACCCGCTCCTTTCCCAATGGGGGCGGAGGAGAGTTGGGGGAAGGGAGGAGGTTGGGTTGGGGGGAGAGGGAGAGGAAGAACAAGGGATGCGGAATCATCTCCTCCATGAGCAGTGAGCACTGCTCCCTTACCTCCCTGGCAGGGAGTGCGCAATCATCCGAACCGAACCGCATGTGCGATTCAGAGACCAAGGCCACGTGGCACTTGCGCCCGCACTCCAAGGCTTCTGAATCTCGCAGCGACTTGGGGCGTTGAAATCAGGGAGCGGGGTAGAGGTGGCATATCTACAGCCGGGTAACATTTCTGTTCGCGACCGCCCTTGCTTATGCTGGAATGGTTCTTCGAACAAGCCTAAGAGCTTACTGATACCTGGTAGTACCGAGTACTACCTAGTGGTACCAAGAAGTACCGAGTAGTACCTGAGCCGAAGTCGGGGTGGGTGTACTCGTTGAGGCCGATGGAGCGCACGTAAGCGGCGGAGCGCGGATGCACCGGGAGGCGGTCGACGCGTATGTTCCACGCGTTGTTGCTCGGGAATACCGCGCAGCGCCCCACGTGCGGCACGGCCTCCGCGAGACGCGGCCCGGTGGCGGCGGGGAAGCAGAGGAGCGGGAGGGAGAGGGAGAGGAGGAGAGAGGTGAGACGCGCGACGACGACAGGCTGGACGCGCGGGCTTTTCTTCATTGCGGGAACGAGAAATGACGGCTTGCAAGGTGCGAGAATTCGGGTGGAGAGGAGAGAAGATTTAATTTGAGTCTCTCTATTTGAAGTTCGAACGCCGCGTGGCACAGGGGATCATTGTGGTGTACGTACGAGTAGACGTTTTCAACCACTGAACGACAAAGATACGAGTAAGCTGGACTGCACTGAAATGATGAAGATACGACCTTTGCTGATTTTACGTGTTTGGGCTGGAACAAGTGGCTATGCGAGCAAGCGCAGACGACAGAGACGAACAGAATGAGAAGCAAGATTGAGGTGAGGAGAGGAGAGGAGGTTGAGGAGACGACGTGCGCTCAAAGCACGACATCCAATCCACACCGAAGCAAAAACGGCACGGCTCGCCTGGATTGTTGCTGTGCTGAGTCGAATGCAGCCGCCTCGCCAATCGCCAGCGTGCGTGAAGCACTGCTGTACAGAGAGCTGGCAGAGCAGGTGTGCGGTTGAGTACAATGTTACACACTTTGGAATGGTTGTTTTAATCTACCGCTTGAAACCGCTACGCACCAGCCTGAACATTCATATATGAACTGCCATCGATCACTGTGACATATTCCATCCATGCGGTAGAGGTGGGCGCTTGCGATCCACTCGTAATCCGTTATGAGGACCCCTCATAGCGTGGTACAGTACATCCCGATATCGATCTAAAAAAACCCTGGATGACTCAGAAATGAAGTCCTCCTTACACGTGAAACTTCTTAAGTGATATAGACAGCAGAAGATTAGGGTAAGGCATTGCATTTTAAGAAATATACAAGTATCATTAGACTAGTTTGCATAAAGAAACTGTGCACCAACAGCCTGGAGCTAGAACACGCAAGCAAATACCTGCATAATCGTGTTCTCATGACCAGCACCAAAAACAGCCAAACCTAGGGATTCTACAATGCCTCCAAACCCCCTAGTCTCCACCACTATCCTCCTTCCAGCATGCAAGTCCCAGCAAAAGACGTGCTTTACCACACGTTGAACGTTCCTGAACCTCCCCCTGACCCAGCACTCGAGTAGCTGTCGTTGCGGTCTAGATGCGTGGCAGGAGATTCAAGCGGTACCCCACCCATCACTCCCATCATCTTTGGCCCTGGCCTTCTGTACTGCCCTCCTCCCATGCCCATGTTGCCACCCGCTGCAGCCGCAGCCGCCGCTGCTGCCGCCGCAGCAGAAGCGCCTCCCATCATCATATTACTGCCTGTAGGCGGTGGTGCCATGTTGCCCCCCATGTGCCCTCCAAAGAGAAGGTTACCACTGTTACCACCGCCGCCGCCAGTACTACCATTCGCACTGTGGCTCGGGCTCGATCCTGCATTCATTGACATCATGGCAGTGCGGCCGAGAATACCGCCATAACATGCCGCACCTCCTGCTGCAGTAGGCCTGGACGGCGACTGCTGGTAGTACTGCTGCTGCTGCTGCAGTTGCTGCTGAAGCTGTTGCTGTTGTTGGAAACTCCCACCATACTCCATGCCCATGGATCTCCGCGCCATTATGCCACCCATTGGCGATCCCCCCCCAACTGACCCGCTCAGAGCGTTCATGCCTGAGAGCACAGGCCCGCCGAAACCAGACGGGGAATTTCCCCCGACAGCAGGGGAACCCCGCGCACTACCCCCGAGGGAGCTCCCGTTGTCGGAAAAGAGCGACGCGTCCTCCTGCCCGAATTTTGTGACGTGGCGCGACGCGGGAGGGGCGGGCGGCGCTGCTGGCGTGTCGCCCAGATCCTGAAAGGTCCGAGAGAGGGGGGATGACGACAGGGATGGGACGCGGAGGAAGCCGAAGGATATGAGCAAATGCGAGTGCATCGTAAGGTGGTTGCGGCTGGCTCGGAGAAGCGCGTGGGCAAAAGTACACGGCAACGAAGCACCGCGCCAATCAGATCAACCTCGCTCCCATCACGCACTAGAGTGCCTGGCAAATATCTAAGCTGTCAATGACTCGCAGTTATGAGCACTTGTATCCAGCACAAACAAAAGGATTGCTTCGTGTTGGTGAACAGAAAGGTGTGTAATGCTCTCGGTACCATCCAGCCAGCGCTGCATACCGCACCAAGCGAAAAGGAGCAACTAACGACGAGCAACGACCAACGACGAGCAATTCGGCACGTACCAGGTACGCAAGAAGCTCGTCGTCCACGTCAGCATAGCTGTCCGTTTCCTTCGGTTTTGCGCGAGCTGACGGAGCAGCGGTCTCCGCCGCCGGCGCAGCGGCTTCCCCCGGAGCAGCGGCTTCCCCCGGAGCGTCATCCACGCGCGCGAGAGCAGCGGCGGCGGAAACGGTCCGCGAAGGCACTCCCCCTCCTTCCCGCGCGGCCTGCTGCCCCACCGACCCGCCGCCCTGGTCGCAGCTTGCGCTCCGCGGCGGAAGGGGTGGGCGCTCGTTACCTTCGGCGTCTGCATCGGGCGGTTCGCCGTCTAACGGATTAAGATAATAGGTACCACCGGCGGCGAGAACGGTTTCTTCGTCGAGCGCGGGCGCGGGCGCGGGGTCGAGGGCGACAGTGAAGGCGGGAAACTCGAGGAGCAAGTCTTTAACAGTCATTTTCTTGGTGTACATCTTCATGGAGCCATCCGGCAGCAGCACGAGCAGCGCCTGTGACTTCTTCGACGAAAACATCTGCCGCAGGCTCACCATGATGCCACGCGGACGATGTCAATTGTCGGGTACTAGATTGTTGTTGATGTTGGTTTGGAAGCTATTCGACGTGTATTACAGTGAGTATTTGCTTTGAGGTGTCCGGCCTGATGAGCTGGAAAAGGAGGGAGAGGAGATGTTGCGGTGCGGTTATGAGGGTGACGTTTCCGAGGGAGCAGGAAACGAGTTTCAGTGTACACGTACGTGTTGCTTGGGACAACTGAGAACCTGGTCCTGGTTTTGGGAGCTGAGGACGTCGAGTGTCAGGTCAGAGAGGACGACTGCAAGCTTGATATTTATGGAGATGCACCTGAAACAATGGCGTTTGACAACTCGAAAGCAGAGTGAAAAGGAGACAGAAACTGATGAAGCATAACTTCCAGAGAGGTCTAGTGGTGGACAAGAAGTTGAGTGAGCAGAAGGGACCAACAGCCAGAGCAAAGCAGCACTGCAAAGCAAACAGGCGAGAGGGTGAGTGGGTGTGTGGGAGCAGCGGCAGCAAGCGAGTGATGCTGCTCTTTGGATAACGGCGCCTTCATCGTTTGTGCCAACAGGGAGCGAGTTGGTTGGTTGCGGGGTTTGGGTGGTTGCGTTGCGAGACAACGGGGCTGTCAAGGTTTGGGCTGGTTGGGACGAAGGGTTGTCGAGCCAAACCAGTCACGTGCTACCCCGTCTCTTGTTCTTGGAGCTGATGCTGCGGATACGTTTGCTGCGCTGGCACGAGGTTTGGCTAGGTGGGCCATGATGACTTCGAATATCCATTCTGCTGATGCAGGGGAGAAGCAGAGCGTGTTGCTCGTGTGGGATGGAGATGAGGGAGGCTTGGCATGCAATGCAATCTTGCTGATTCGCATCGCGTCAGCCTTTCCCCACCCCAACCTCACCCGTGCAAAACGACGCAGAATGCCGCTCAGGAGGATCAAGGTGGTGAGAAGCAGCTGATGTCAGCCCGCTGGATTGCGGCAGTGACAACTGACTGTTCACAGGGACATTGTGGCGTGTACAGAACATGTTACACCTAACCCGCGCTAATTTCAAAAACTTCGCACCGAGCCGCGATTTTGCCACTTGCGCAAGGGATATTTGTGTAGTGAGTCAGCAACCTAGTTGTTTGTGCTGACGGGGCGGATTTTCCCTCCGCGTGTGTCGAGCGAGAACGTTACGAAGCAAAGCCTGTATGGTTTTGAAGTGTTTCTCTGTGTTTGAGAGTGGTTCGGCAAGAATTTTGAGAATGGGATGATGGACTAACATGTCATCCCATAACATCATTATCAATTGTCATGTCAGGCATTGTCATGCAGCAGCACGAAGAGGCTAGCGGAACGGACAGAACACCCCAAGAGAACTCAGGGAGTTGTTTTTGGCGGGAAAGTGCAGAAGAGCATTTGAATTTGCAAAAACAAACCGGTAGAGTCACAGCAGACATCGAACGCCACACGTCACCACGCCCCCAGCCGTGAAACTTGCTAGCACCAGGTCGCGAAGCGTGCGCCACACGTCACCGCGCCCCTAGCCGTGTCTCGATAGCTGCAGGTCGCATAGCGTACACCACACGACACCTTGCCCCCAGTCGCGAATTCAGCTAGCACTAGGTCGCGAAACGTAAGCTTCACGCCAACGCGCCCACGGCCACGAATCCCGCGAGCAACAGGTTAGCGCAGCGATTGCTTCACGCTACCCTGCCCACAGCAGCGATTCCACGTAGGAGCGCGTAGTGAAGTGACGGTTTCACGCCATAGCTGCGATTTACGCTAGGAGCAGGGACCCAAGTGGACGGTTGTTGCTTTCGCCCCTGACGCCACGACTCACGTTAGGAGCAGGATCTGCAGTGGACGTCTTCGCGTAGCCGAGTGTGCAGCTGGTTTTCCCTCGCTAGGAGCAGGAACTGCAGTGTGCGTTTCCTCGTTACCACATGCACAACCAGGTTTTCCCCGCTTGGAGCAAGATTAGCAGTGTTCGGTTTCTCGCTACCCCGCCACACGGGCACACCGAGCTCTCTTGTTGCTAGGAGCTGGAACTGAAGAGCGCGGATCTAGACAGACGCTACAGGATCCACGGCATGGCCGACTTGCAGCACGAGCACACACCTACGCAGGCACCGCATGGCGAGGCGGAAGCACTTGCTGACCCAGACAGGCACTCAGGCACTAGTGCTCGGGAGTATGTAGCGCAGCCCCAAGCAAACACTCTCAAGCGGCCTTGGGTAGGCCCTACGCAGCCACTCCTCCTCGGTCTCCGGCGCCTGAGCTCGGTAGACTGACCATGCAAACGACACCGCGAGGCACCAGCCGCCCCCATGAGCACCAACGACATGCTCGGTGTACCGGCGCTCTCAGGAACTTCGCAGCGGCTTAGTAATGGGGATGCTCAGCCTCCTTTGGCTGAGGCACCACTCACGGTTGGTGAACAGCGGGAGGCGGCTGTTACCCCACGCACGCCCTCGGTAGACCAGCAAGCATCGCCCAATTGCCCACACGCATCCTCTGGGCTGGTGGATGCACAAGACACCCGAGGGGTAGATGGGCGTGGGCAGGAACCAAGTGATCTGGGGATGGACAGGGCAGTGGCGGCGTGGGAGGCGCAACGCCGGCACTTGCAGGAGCTGCATAATAGGCGGCGGCGCGAGCTTCCACTTGGTGCCACGGCAACAGAGTCGCCCGGCACTCTTGGAGCTTCAGTGGGTCCTAGCAGGGCTCCACTTGGACCGCGCTTGGCACGACGGCAGGAGCTGAGGCGTTTGTTGGTAGCTGGCACGGGCGGTCGGCAAGAGTGGGCGACGGCAGAGCAGGCGGAGTCGACAGCGGGGAGGCAGGAGGTGCAGGGGGCCCTGCTGGCGGATGAGGGCCGGGAGTGCGGGGCAGGTGGGCAGCAGGGGGTGACGGATGCAGGCCTGCCGGAAAAGGTGCTGAGGAGGCAGCCGAGCCGTCTAGCGGAGGGCCAGCTGGGCCTGCCGACAAAGGTCCAGGGGGAGTTACTCGAGGAGGAGCATTGGGAGCGTGGGGAACAGGGACGGAAACCAGGGAGGGAGCAACCGGAAACGCTGTCGGCGATGCAGCAGGGTCTGCCGGTGGCTGCAGGGGAGACTAGAGACATCAATCCCTTCCCGAAGGCACGAACGGGGGCGTCTCTAAAGGGATGGGCTGGAGCTGTGGAACATACTTTTCTCTTTCGGAGCGCGCAAGGACAAGGTGTGCAGCCCGCGAGCACGGGGCAAGAGGGCGTGCGCCGTCGTGGTCGAGGTCACGGTCGTGGTCGTAGCGGGACTGCTCAACGAGGGCGCCTCGCGGGCCAGCACGAGCAACAGTCGGAAAGGCAGCCAAGTGAGTTGCAGGAGCAGCAGTTTGAAAGGCAACAACAGCGGAGTCAGCAGGGTGGGCTGCCTCCCCGGCAGCATGAGCAGCTGGGCGAAGGTCAGCAGGGATGGCAACCAGGAGAGCAGCAGAAACTGTGGCTTAGGGAGCAGCAGGAACTGCAAATGAGGGAGCAGCAGGGAATGCAGCCAGGAGAGCAGCAGGAACGGCAGCCAGGGGAGCAGCAGAAACGGCAGCCAGGGGAGCAGCAGGACATGCAGATAGGGGAGGAACAGCAGGAAATCCAGATGGGGGAGCAGCAGGCACGGCAGCCAGGAGAGCAGCAGGAAATGCAGATGGGGGAGCAGTTGGAACTGCAGCCTGGGGAGCAGCAGGAGCTGCAGCCAGGGGAGCAGCAGGAAATGCAACGGGGGGAGCAGCAAGAAATGCAGCCAGGAGAGCGGCAGGAAATGCAGTCAGGAGAGCAGCAGGAGCTGCAGCCAGGGGAGCAGCAGGAAATACAACGGGGGGAGCAGCAGGAAATGCATCCAGGAGAGCAGCAGGAAATGCAGCCAGGGGAGCAGCAGGAAATGCAGCCAGGGGAGCAGCAGGAAATGCAGCCAGGGGAGCAGCAGGAAATGCAGCCAGGGGAGCAGCAGGAAATGCAGCCAGGGGAGCAGCAGGAAATGCAGCCAGGGGAGCAGCAAGAACTGAGGTTGGAGGAGCAGCACCCGGGAGAGCAGCAGGGGCAGCAGCTGGGCACCTGGGTGGGTGATACATGGGAAGTCATGGGTGTAGCGAGCCCACTTCGAGTGGAGCAGCAAGAAATGGAGACAGATTTGGTGCCTGTGTCACAGCTCTCGGGCCACAGTGGGGAGCACCAACAAGATCTTTTTGTTCCTCCTGGGGAGCTGCAGATAGGGGAAACGGATCAGAGAGGGCAGCAGCTGCGTGAGCTGGGCGCTCAGGCGCAGGGGCCCGTGGACGATCAACTGCCACGAGGCAAGGGCAGGAGGCGACGCGGAGGCCAGGGCAAGCAGCGGTCGGGCAATCAGCAGGATCAGCAGGCAGAGGGCGAGTTGGGGCGGCCGCTTACGAGCCAACGTCCGGGAGGCCAGCTGGTGCGACGGCGGCCACTGTCAGGGGAACAGGGAGTGACTGCAGCACCTGAGGGCGTGCAGCAGGCAGGGGGACAGCAGGGAGTGACTGCAGCACCCCAGGGCGTGCAGCAGGCAGGGGGACGACAGGGAGTGACTGCAGCACCTGAGGGCGTGCAGCAGGCAGGGGGACAGCAGGAAGTGATTGCAGCACCTCAAGGCGTGCAGCAGGCAGCGGGACAGTAGGGAGTGACTGCAGCACCCCAGGGCATGCAGCAAACAGCGGGACAGCAGGGAGTGACTGCAGCACCTGAGGGCGTGCAGCAGGCAGGGGGACAGCAGGGACTGATTGCAGCACCTCAAGGCGTGCAGCAGGCAGCGGGACAGCAGGGAGTGACTGCAGCACCCCAGGGCGTGCAGCAGGCAGCGGGACTGCAGGGGGTGACTGCAGCACCTCAGGGCGTGCAGCACGCAGGGGGGCAGCTGGGGGCGAGGGCAGCACTTCAGGGCGTGCGGCAGCGGCAGCAGCAGCGGCAGAAGCGTCAGCAGCAGCAGCAGCAGCAGCCCCCCCCGATCCCTCCGGAAAGCCCCACACCGGGGGTTGTGGAGAATTCAGCCACTCCTGACACGGCTCCACTTGCTCCAACTTGTGTGTCAGAATATTATGCTCTAGCCTGTAGTGGGGTGCTCTATAGCGAGTACAACCCTTCTAGGGTTTGCTATTTGTATCCTCATTCTTGCTAGTGCAACTCCTTCTTCTTTGCCTAAACTGTTTCTTGCCTAGCTAGGGCTTTCCTAGCTATGGCGCCTTCTTCTACTGCTCATCTTCTCATGGTATCAGAGCGATATGCTCCTGGCCTGTGGGCCCCACCTCACTGCTTCCGCTGCTACTGCTACTCCCTGTCCGCCGCGCGCCCCGTGGTGCGCGGCGTCGAAATTAGGGTTTTTTCAGCCCGCCGTGCGCCCCGAGGCGCGCGGCGGTTTTCTGCCCGCCGTGCGCCCCGAGGCGCGCGACGGGTTTCTGCCCCGTCACTCGGCGCGTCGCCCCCAGGAGGCGCTACGACGGGCGACGGGGACCCGCGCGTCGCCCCCCGTCGCCCGTCGTGGCCTGCGCGCGGCCCGTACAGCCGGCGCGCGGCCCGCACGGGCTGCGCCAGGCCCGCGCGCGGCCCGTACGGGCTGCGCCAGGCCCGCGCGCGGCCCGTACGGACTGCGCCAGGCCCGCGCGCGGCTCGGGCCGCCTGCGCGCGGTTCGGGAGGCTGTGCCAGGCCCGTGGGCGGCCCGTTCTTCGCTGCCCCTGTCCTCCCCGCTGTCCCCCGTGCTTCTGAAGGCGCCCCACCCCTCCTTCTGCCTGTTCTCCTGGATTAGGGTTTGGGGGTGGGGGGTATGGGGGTGCAGCTTCTGTGTGCCGTTCCCTGCTCCTCCTCCTCCTCCGTCTCCCTGTGCTGCAGCTGCCGCTGAAGGGGGGTGGACCTGTTGGAGCCGTCGGAGTGGTACTAAGGGGGGGTGAAGGGGGAGTGGAGCTAGGGGTGAAGCAGGGGGTGTGTGTCAGGGTGGGTGGTACTGTTTGGGGGAGGTTGAACGGAGGTTGCCGTCGTGTCGCCAGCAGCACCTGTAGTCCGGGGAGTTGCTCCGGTAGCCCAGTCGTAGCCACCTGTGCCAGTCGCCCGTGGGTCCGTTGCTCGTCTGCCGCTACTTTTAGCCGCGGGGCCAGTTACTCCAGTAGTCCGGAGCGCTGTTCCGGTAGCCGCTGTGCCAGTGTGCCTCCTGTTGCCCGTGTGTCTGCAGCTTCAGCCGTCGCCTCCTATCTCCTCTCCTCTCACTGTCCCTCCTCCTCCTCACTTGCCCGTTGTGACTACCACTAGCTTTGCTCATAATTGTGAACTTTAAACTATTGCTTCCTGAACTTGTGCTCAGAATGTGTGGTGACATTGTGATCCACCCTGAGCTTGTTCTGCTTTGCTTGCTCTGCTGATTACACCCCACTTTGGCTATGGGGGTGTGTCAGAATATTATGCTCTAGCCTGTAGTGGGGTGCTCTATAGCGAGTACAACCCTTCTAGGGTTTGCTATTTGTATCCTCATTCTTGCTAGTGCAACTCCTTCTTCTTTGCCTAAACTGTTTCTTGCCTAGCTAGGGCTTTCCTAGCTATGGCGCCTTCTTCTACTGCTCATCTTCTCATTGTGTCCCTTGCGAGTTCTGCTTTCACACATTTCCGCCTGGTGGTGCGGCCTCCCGCCACATAGTTGCATGTAAAGCGGCAGATGCTCAGCGGCGGGCTCAGGCCCTTACTTCCTCCCCGAACCTGAGCGAGGTCTTCGGGGCAGATCCAGTACCTCCGCTGGATATCGGCGAGGAGGTGTGGGGGGCGGTGCCTTCGTGGGACTGGGAGACTTTTTTCAGTATTCATTCTGTGTCGGGAGAGCTTCTTCGTCGGGTCCCGCAGCGGGCGCGACTGGGGGTGCTTGATGCATTGTGCTGCATTCTCAAGAGACTGAAGGCTTCCCCTGGGGATGAGGCGGCGACGCTGATGTTCCTGGCCTTCCCGCGCCTTTTTTTTGGGAGTCCCCGCGAAGGAGGGTCTTGGACGAAGGGCAGCCATAGTAGGGCGTCTCGGAAAGTTCTGGGCAGGGGAATGGCAACAGCTGTTCGAGGCTGCCTCTGCCGCGTTGACTCCGGCGGCGCGACCTCTTGCCTTCTCCTTACCTGAGCGAGATGCTGATGCCATCCGTTTGGCCCGATGTCGCACGAGGTGCCAAGTGGGGGAATGGAGTCGAGGACTAGCATGCCTTACTGCGGGCGACTTGGCGCAGCCCTCTCAACTAACAGTAGACCGGCTGACAGCAAAGCACCCGGCCAGTGAGGTGCCAGTTCCTGAGTGGGTGGAGCACTTTCGCATAGACGTTTCTCATCTTCCCCACCTAACTGAAGACATCCTCAAGCATGCTATTCATTCCGCAGCGCGAGCCTCAGCACCAGGCCCCTCAGGATGGATGACAGAGCACCTCCGAGACACATTTCTCTCGGAGCCTTCCTATCTCCCGCATCTGTTGGAGGTGTTCAGGCAGTGGATTTCGGGATGCGTTTCTGAGCGGGTGCGGCCCTGGCTTGCAGCCTCGAACTTGGTTGGGTTATCCAAGCCAAACGGGGACGTCCGCCCAGTGGCTATCGGAGAGGTGCTCCCTCGGATTCTGGCGCGTGCGTTATGCGTTCTTCTTCGTCCCGACATGGAGACCTACTTCGCTCCTTGTAACCAACTAGGGGTGGGAACTAAGTCGGGGGTGGAGATTCTGGCGCATGCTTTCCGCTCGGCTGTAGCGGTTCATCCGACGTGGTGCGCGCTGCAGATCGATGTAGCGAATGCCTTCAACTCGTTCCATCGGCACGTGATGTTCGACGGCCTCCGCGATTCTCCTTTTGCTGGCCTTATCCCTTTCTTACGCGTCTTTTATGGGGTGCCCAGCGGTCTGTACCTTCGCACAGGCCCCTTTGTCGAGATGCTGGCGTCCGAGCGGGGTTCGCGACAGGGGGATCCATTTGGTCCCTTCCTTTTTGCTTTCACGCAGCAGTTGGTTATGGGGCCTACAATGAAGGATTTCCCTGATATTCTTTTCTTGAGCTACGCTGATGACACCTACGTTCTTGGCCCGGGGGAGCGGGTGTTGGCGGCGTACGATGTCTTGCGGGAGCGACTGGAGTGGGTGGGCTTGGAGGTGCAATCGCACAAGTGTAGGATGTGGGAAAGAGGGGAGGCGGCAGCGTCTGGGGATATTCCGCTGGGAATGCAGCAGTCGTGGACGGGGTTAACAGTGGTGGGGGTACCTATTGGAGAGGAGGATTGGGAGGTGGCGCGCTTGAGGGAGAGACTTTTGCAGCTGCGATCACCTCTACCTTGGCTTCCTATTTTGAACCACCCCCAGATTGCCTCCCACTTGTTGGCTGTTGCCGTGTCTGCGCGGCCGCTCTTCTTGACTCGCACTGTTCCCCCTCGTCCTGAGGTTCTTGACGCTTTCAGAGATTGGGATGGGGCTTTGGAAGAGTGCTTTGAGCAACTTTTCCCGCCAGACACTTGGGACTTCAGTCTTGATAGGTCGCGCATGGCTCACCTGCAGCTGCACCTCCCGGCTCGTTTGGGCGGGTTTGGCATTCGTTCAGCAGCAACTCTTAGCCCTCTCTCTTACGTCTGTGGGTGGTGCCAGGCTGCGAGTGCTGTTGTCAAGCTGGGAGTAGCGGGCGAGGAGCAGATGTTCAGTGAGTTCTTCCGCACTCCGCCGGCTGGGGATTTACTGGACCCTTGGTTTACCAAGGCCCTTGACCAGCTCCCGCCTGTTGTCAGGCAGGAATTGCCGAGTTTGGGGCTCTGCACTACAAATCCCCCCCTCCAGCTTTTCCCAGCGCAGCAGCGTCGCTTGGCGGTTGAAAGTCTTCAGTCTCTGCGGCGCATGGCCCGCGATAATGCTACCTTGGCCCGTTTGACTTCCCTTCAGGGCCCGGGTTCGGCAGCATGGGTGTCCGCAGTTCCAGCGCATGATGACGCAACTTTCACCCCTGTGGAGTGGGGCATTTCGGCGGCAATCCGTTTGGGCCTTCCCGTCCACCAGCTTCTGGTTGCTGGCAAGTGTGTTTGCGGTGTGGAGTTCAAGGACCCGTCAGATCCGCACCATGCTCTTCGGTGCAAGTACCAGTACGCCCCGTCTCGTGTTCATGATGCAGTGAAGCTCGTTGTTGCTAAGATAGCCAAGGCATCGGGTGGGGTGGTTACGATCGAGGATGACACGCTTCTGCCGGGGAAGAGAGTGGATGTGGCGGTTAGGAAACCAATGGACGGGGAAAAACATGCGCTCGAGGTGAGCGTCGTGGATCCGGTTTCGCTACCGGTGCAGCAGCATGGGCAGTGTGGGCGGACAGTAGGTTTTGCTGCCAAGGAGCGAGAGAAGAGGAAGGCGACGGATTATCAACCTTTTCTGCGGCAACACAGGGGGGTTCGTTTCTTCCCGTTGATTCTTGAGACTTGGGGTTGCTTGGGGGGAAGCTTTCGACAGTGGTTACGGCAGCAGGGGGAGGTTCAAGTAAAGGTGGCTCTTAACAAAGGTGTGGGAAGGGGCAACAGCTCGGGTTTCTCGGAATACTTGGTGGGGTCCTTGACAGCCGCGGTAGGGGTAGCTTTGCAGAAGACACAGGCTCGGGTGATTCTTTTGCGGGCGGCATATACGTTGGGTCAGTCCGAGGCGGAGTGGGTGGAGC